GATCCTTGCTCCTTTCTAGGAATTAATTCTCTTGCCTTCTCTTTTGTGGCATCTGATTGTGGATCTTGGGATGTCTGAAGTGCGTACTTAGGTAAGATACAGGCTTTGGGGAGGCTTAGTGACCCAGAGTTTCACTCTGGGAACATTTCAGTTCTTGTGGGAGCCTTAAGTTAACAGGGGTGGTCATTTTCTGTCCATTACTTGTTCATCTAAAACAACACAAAACAAAACAAAAAACTATAGCTATCCTAGATTGGAGGTGGGTGGTGCATACTTCCGAATAGGGGGTTAGAACACTGCCTGTCACCACTACAGTCAGTCACTGCGGTGAGGAAGAAAAGGGCTCATATGGAAGGGAGAGATATAAAGTCCTTTGTTTTCAGACAGTGTGATTGTGCATAGAAAAACAAAACAAAACAAACACAAAAAAAAAAAACCACAAAAACAAAACCAGTAAAGAATTTGAAAAGGAGCAGCCAGAATTAATGAATTAGTTCAGGTTGTTGTTGGGTTTTGATTCATAATCTCAGAAATCCATTTGCAATTATATAGTAAACCTAGGAAATGAAGTGTAAGAGCTTAAATCTATTTACAGTGTTACAGAAACCACAAAATGTGTAGGAATAAATTTAATAGACAATGCACAGACTTCCTTTGCTCTAGACATCATTATCATAACATTAAGAGATATTAAAGAGGTCCTTGGAACATGGAGAGGGAATCCCTATTCATGAGCCAGAGAGCTCGACTTGTTAGCTGTTCTCTCTAAATTAGTAGATAGTTTTGTTGCAACCCTAATCATAATTCTACTGGCTCTTCTAACTCAAAGATATTAAAAAGAAATCTATGAAGAATTAAAAATATTCACCCAAGGAGATAAAAAAAATGTTCAATACAAGCACATGTGAGGGTATCATTAGCCACCAGGGGCACAAATAAAAACCACAGAGACATACTCAGTTCAGAGGCCAGCACTGCCAAGGGTTAGTGCTGGAATAGAGCCATTAGACAGCCACACACTGCTGGAAGAGTTCGTCCATCTGGGAAAGTATTGTGTGATTGCTAAAATACAAAGTATTATACAATTGCTAAAATACACCTCCCATATCACCCGACCCTTGTCTTCCTAGGTAATTACCCTGGGAAAGTGGAGTGGGCATTTCTGAGTGTGCGGGCTGACCCAGGGCAGTTATCTGTGTTTATCACCAATTAAGTGGGTGACCAAATTGAAGCGTATCCCTTCAATGGAATATTTGCCACCAGTGGCAATGAAAAGAAACATCAGGTGTTCTTAGCATCAGTGTGTATTGAAGCCATTCAGCTGAGTGAAGCAGCTTGGGAAAGAGCGCAGGATACAATCCATTTGCATGCCAAGAGGGAAATAATTCATGTTACTGTATAGTGATGATGATAGACACCAGGCCATTGGCCTCCAGTAGCCAGGAGCATGGAGGAGACAAGAAAGGACGGTGTGGATTCTGAGGAGTGACAGGAACCCACATAACTTGATGCTGGTTTCATGTGTATATACAATTTTCAAAGCTTATCCATACTCGGGGCACTGAGGCAGGAGAATTGGAGTTTGAAATCAGCCTGGGCTACACAATGAGACATGTCTTAAATACATCTTAACAAAATAGAAGCTCACTGAAGCGCATAACGCAGACGCAGGCAGGGAGCTCATCGTGTGTAGCCACAGTTGATAATGATGACTGATGATGCTTGATGAAAAGTCTGGGTTCAGGAAGGATGCTTTATTGGTATGGACCGGTTGTTATAATCTAAGAAAAGCAGTGGGAGAGAATGCCATGTGACAGGGGTTTTTGTTAGGGCAAAAGGACCATAAAAAGGGAGAAGGGAAGGGAGGAGACCTTCCAGGGCAGGAGCAGCAGGAGAGAGGAAGAGAAAGAGAGAGGATGGGAGGCGGGCAGGCCCCCTTTGAAAGGCAGCATAGTGTGCACAGGTGGTGTTCTTAGTGGCTGCAGCTGAGGGCATATCCTGTGAGAACCCCAAGGACAGGCCAGGACAGATGCCAGGACAGATGCCTGGACACTAACACCAGTTCTAGCAGCTAGTGCGTATTTTCATGAAAGATGTAACAGCCCCTTTAAAACTTTAAGTAGTTGGCCAGTGCTTTGAGCAAACAAAAGCCCCGGTTGTTTCTCAAGTTCTTGAGGGAGAAAGGCAGGAGGAGAGAGGTGGTGTGTCTTCTGTTTTCTTTCTTTGTTTTCTTTCATATTGTTCCTGAATTGTCTTCCAGGCTTTTCTAAACTTTTGACCAAACCAGCTAAGATAGATTTGCCGACTTGTGATGTAAAGAACTTCTGATGCTGGTGTCTGAGTAGGAGACTTAACTTTTTAGGCTCTCTAACAGTTCCCGATCCTCACCTTTATCTTAAAATTTCAAATACAACATTTAATCAGGAATTTTATGACAGGTCAGGCATGGTGGCTTACACACTTGATCCCAGCATCTGGGAGGCAGAGGCAGGAAGACCTCTGAGTTCAAGCCTAGCCTGGTCTACTGAGTGAGTTCCAGGTCAGTCAGGACTACATGTAGGGATCTTGTCTCAAAAAAACAAAACAAAAACAAAAAAAATCCACAAACAAAACAAAAGAAAAACGCAAACAAACCCAAACCCAAGAAAACAAAGCTTGCCATTACTTATGTCACTGTTAAGATTGGGAAAGGAGACAGTGGGTGCTGCAAGGTTCTTAGTGATGTTTTTCTGTTATGAAGCAGGGGGTGGGGCAGGAAGACACTGCAGGGGAGGGGAGGGCAGCTAGGGAGAGGAGTTGGGCATGGGGGAGGGTGTGGCAGGGGAGAACCAATTAGAACCAGGTTTTTGAAATGCTGTGATGAAGCTCACTGCTTTCTTTGCTGATAGGAAATGTCAATTCTCAAAGGTTAATGCTTCATTAGCCACAGAAGGGTTGAATCCAGCTCTCCACAGACTTCCTGAGCTCCTAGTTTTGGACAGTGCTCTTGGCTCCTCTCTCTGCTTTGTCCTTCTTGTTCCTTTGGGCTTTACATAAATAATAAAAATAACGCCACCAGTGTCAAGTCCTACTTAAGTTCCTCTGAGGTTTAGGGAACTAACCTGAGAGGTTGTGCTATCAGGTGTGGATGACTGAACACCTGTGATATTCAAGCTTCCAAGAGGTTAAAGGAAATAACAGTTCTCCATTTCTCATCTATCTTACTTGGCTTTTTCCTGGCTGGTGAGGCAGGTCTCAGGGTCTCGGGAAGTCGGTGCTAGTTTGTATTTCCACATAGCTTTTGATGCTAAGGTTTTTTGAAAACCTGAGAATAATAATAAAAGCATCATGCTGTTGAGGATTCTTTTGTACGGGCAGCCTCATCTTAATTTTTAACATTTTAAAGAGAAGGAAAAGCCTGAAGGCAAAGGACTAAATGTGTACACGCTGCCTTAGTGTGTCAGCTGTCTGTCGCCCACTTGAAAGATCGACGATAAGGCTGATTACCAGATCTCAGGACACGCACATTGTGGGTAGCTCGGCGTGGAATACAGGAACTGTCTTGGGGAATTGGAAGCTTATCAAAGGTCAAGAAAGATAGTGGGTTGTGGAGTTGGCCATCAAAAGTCCTGCATTCCAGTTAGGTGGACATAACGTGATGGCAGGTGGTGAAGACAGCGGGCACAGCTTCCAGGAACAGAAGATACAAGAGCCATCGTGGATGTTTTTAAATAGGATTCCTGACGTCCATTGGTCGGTACTTGGGTGTTTCTGCCAGTGCACGTGCGCGCGCGCGCGCGCACACACACACACACACACACACACACACACACGATCAACAAACGGTAATTTTCTCGTTAATTAAATAGTACGATGATGAAGGGAAAAGCGACCAGCTTTTGTCTTGATACTTCCTGTAAAACACCTTTGGGTGTGAATTGGTGGCGGCTGCCTAGTTTACCCAGAATCCTCATTCCCCTTTTGAGCATCTAAGCCACATTCCTGAGTGGGCCTGCCTTTCATTTGTGTTCCTGTGGCCCCTAGTGCATAGAGTGTCACAGGTGGCCGTCGCAGAAAGAGCCTGTGTGGTTGCTCAGTGAAGAGAGAATGTTGGGGTGGCAGTCTTGTCTATTGTACCCCGTTACTGACACTTGAGATCCGTGTGGCAAGTAGTTCTTTGTACACTTGCACCGTTACAGTCACACAGAGCTGCACCCTCAGTTTCTGCCATGGGAAGCTTTACAGACCCGGCCCTGCAATCTTAGATGACCTCAGGCTGAGTGTCCTCTTTGGTAAATTATCTGAAAGGTTATTACGATGTGATGAATCACAGCTCTTTCTCCTGTTTTTCAGTGTCATTTTGAAAGGGAAAACACCAGCCAAACACAGTAACTGTATTAAAATGTAGCTTGTCCCTCCTGGGTGGAGAACAGAGCATCCTGGGACTGAGGTCCAGGAAGCTCTGAAGTGCTTGGTCACCCTTCGTCAGCTTGAGGGAATGAGTCAGCAGTTTGCTGCGGTCAGCCAGCACACCTTCTCCTGAATGGAGGCAGCGTGTCTATCCAGGGATACAGAACTATTCAAGTGTCCCGAGTCTGAGTTTGGGTTTAGCAGATTAACAGTTACAGATATAAGCAGCTGAGGTGCCATAGTTTGCTTTTGGGTTTGAGAAGCGTGGATAAGAACCATGCCCGGTCATCACGCAGTTAAAGTGTTGGGTAAAAAGCATTACTGACGGCCAGTTCTTCATTCTGTGAGCCCTGATCAGTGCATTTCCATTCACACATGGAGTGTTTGGAAGACGTACGCACATGATGTCAGGAACTCCACACTGTCCTCTATCAGCCTGCTTTACTTGTGGTTGGTCCCTTGGAGTCGTTTGTCTCCAATTTTTGTTCGTGACAAGTACACCTTTTGATTCATGCTGACAGCTCGGCGTTTGACAGTTTGTTGTTTAAAAACACACATCTGCCCCACCCCCCCAGGATCTGTTAAGTGACATCTTCCCTGTGTGTTTGCAGGTCGGTGACAGTTAGAAGCATGCTTCCCTCTGCTCTCCCTGACCCCGTTTGCCACCCAGGATGTCTGTGAGTGAGAGCGCAGTGTTTGCCTACGAGTCCTCCGTGCACAGCACCAACGTCTTGCTCAGCCTCAATGACCAGCGGAAGAAGGATGTGCTGTGCGACGTCACTGTCGTGGTGCAGGGCCAGCGGTTCCGAGCCCACCGCTCGGTGCTGGCTGCGTGCAGCAGCTACTTCCACTCGAGAATCGTAGGCCAGACTGATGCCGAGCTCACCATCACACTGCCGGAAGAGGTGAGGGGCCACAGCGCCGGCCGGCAATCACAGCCTGTTGTTACCTAGCTACCTTCTGGTTATAAGCTGAAAGCAAACTCCTGTCTCCCCTAGGAAATGGGCATCTCAAGGATCATTTCTGTAGCAACCTTTTGGGTTCTGTTACAGGAATATTTACATGTAAAGGTCTCACTTTGGACGTTAATGCTTGCTGAGCACTGGAATATGCTGACACAACACCTGCATCTTAGTCCGCCTGATAGCTTATGCTGCCTGTGCGACCGTCCCTCTGAGGGACAGCCGTGACAGGTTCAGGGTGTATGCATTCTCTCTCCCTCGTTTCTAGATTCTTCTTGAGATTGCCTTTATGCTTTGGGAGGAAAGATGTTTTGGCCAGTGAGATGGATGGCTCAGCAGGAAAAGGCATCTGCTGCCAAGCTTGTTGACCTGAGTTCGATTCCCACCCCACCACCCCCACCCCAACTCATAGTGGAAGGTGATAACCGAACCCTGCAGGTCGCTCTCTGACGTCTAAATGCATGCTGGCAGACACACACACACACACACACACACACACACACACACACACACACACACCCCTTCCCACATCCCCCACCCGATAAACAAACGAGTGTTAAAAAGCAAAACAGCTTGTTGTCTTCCTTGTTTTTAATACACTGTCCCTCCTCAGTCCTGTATAACTTAAGCTTGTAAATGCTAGGGTCTTTGTCATTATCCTAGCCTAGAAGGGGCTTGTCTTAGGTGGGGTGGGGCTGGTTGGGTGAGTCCTCCTGGCTCTGTTTATTGGGGTGTGTGTAGACTCCGTGTGTGTGTGTGGCGTACCGTGTGATGTCCCCTGTTGAGCATAACTGGATAAAGCCACACTTACGCACAGAGCAGCTTCGTGAATACTTTTCATTTTAAAAATTCCAATCTATAGTTTATTACTGTTCACATTGTTTGGCCTTTGGGAGCTGTGCTACCCTCAGACACCTGGCAGAGCTACAGCCGTTTTCTTCTAGCAGGGCTGTGGGTGGATCTGTCCTGCTTTATTTCATAGATGACTTATTTCCACATGGGGAAACCATGGTAATGAGTATGTTATGAGTAGTTTTCCCGCCAGCCTGGTCCCACAGCCACGCCAGCCCCAAATAACACACAGAGATGCTGTATTAGATATAAAGCTGTTGGCCTGTTACTAGTGTTTCTTATTGGCTAGCTCTGTCTTAAATATTAACCCATTTCTATTTATCTGAGTATTTCCACGTGGTCTTATCTTACCGGAGAAAAGGGTCCAGACCTCTTCTCTCTCAAATCTCTACATTGTGACTCTCCTCCTACCTCTCCCAGAATCCTCCTTGCCTCTTTATTCATTAGCCAATAAGAGAAACATATTTACATCATAAACGGCGTTGATGCAGTATTCCTAAATTGGAGGATTAGTCCTGCAGAATAGGGGTGCGGGACTCTGCTTTACCAGTCTCCTTTTCCTGTAAAATAAAGTACCCACTCAGTGCTCATAGAGAAGAAGTGTGTGTGTGTGTGTGTGTGTGTGTGAGTGTGTGTGTGTGTCCATCCCCCGCTCTTCTCCTGTTCTCACGGCTACACAGCTGTTAGGTGACATGCTTATTTTTATCTTGTGTATTAACAGGTGACAGTTAAAGGATTTGAGCCTTTAATTCAGTTTGCCTACACTGCCAAACTCATTTTAAGTAAAGACAATGTTGACGAAGTGTGCAAGTGTGTGGAGTTTTTAATCGTGCACAATATCGAGGAGTCCTGTTTTCAGTTCCTCAAGTTTAAGTTTCTGGACTCCACTGCAGAGCAGCAGGAATGTGCCAGAAAACAATGCTTCTCCTCACACTGCCAGAAAGCCGACTTTAACGTTTCGCTCTCCGACCAGAAAGACCTAGAAATCGACGACGCGGAGGAGTTCTTGGGAAAGAAAAGTGTTCAGGCTCCTCGGTGTGACCCCCAGAAGTGTCAGCGCGATGTGAAAGCGTCGCCCTCTCTCCAAGACAGTGCCAGCCAGACGTGCCAGTCCTTGTGCTCGGAGAAGGATGGCACCCTGGCGTTGCCCTCCTTGTGCCCCAAATACAGGAAATTCCAGAAAGCATTTGGAACTGACAAGATCCGCACTCTAGAATCCGGCCTCAAGGATGTCCATGCTGCTTTTGTCCAACCAAATGAGGCATCTGACCTGGAGTGCTTAGGGGGCGCACAAGGCTGTGCAGACTTACAGGTGGTCTTACGATGTGAAGAAACGAAGCCAGCCATGGAGAGCGAGGAGACAAAGCACAGAGACCCCGCTTCTCGGCGCCCTGCAGCGCAGACGGAAGTGGCTCCTTTCCCCCACAATTCCGCGGACCCTCACGGGCTCTATTCCCTGCCAGTCTTACACACATACGACCAGCCTGGTGACTTGGGCGTTGCTGGGGTGCAGAGTAAGACAGTGAAGACAGAAAAGCCTTTGTCAGGCGCAGATGCCCAGGAGGAGAAGCCGTTCGGTGAAAATCCGGATTTATACCTGAAGTCTGACGCGGGCCCCAAAGAAGACAGCAGCAGCCTTGCATCGGGCGATCGGAGTAGTGTGGAGAGGGAGGTGGCAGAGCATCTGGCCAAAGGCTTCTGGAGTGACATTTGCAGCACGGACTCTACTTGCCAAATGCAGTTGTCACCTGCTGCAGCCAAAGAGGGCTCAGAGCAGGGCTACCCGCAAAGGCGCTCTGAGTGCCCCTGGTTGGGCATCAGGATCAGCGAGAGCCCGGAGCCAGGCCAGCGGACTTTCACAACTCTCAGCTCCGTCAACTGCCCGTTCATCAGTACTCTGAGTTCCGAAGGCTGCTCCAGCAACTTGGAAATCGGAAACTACGATTACGTGACAGAGCCTCAGCAGGAGCCTTGTCCGTACGCTTGCGTGATTAGCCTGGGTGATGACTCCGAGACGGACACAGAAGGTGACAGTGAGTCCTGTTCGGCCAGGGAGCAGGAATGTGAGGTGAGTGGGTGTGCTGTCGCTTGCTCAGACGGCCATTCGTCAAGAGGCACGCTTGACGCCTGGCGCAGGGAGGGAAGAGGGGGAGACCATGTGACAGACACCAGAGTGGTGATATGGAAATGTATGGAGTTTGAAGAATTGCTGTGTGCACGTGTGTCGTCGCATTGCCGTGTGAACAGATCAGGGAGGAGACGCCCCCCCCCTCCCGCCCCTCCACGCCACGCCATGGGCTGTCTAGCACATGACATGAGCTGTCTAGCTTTTGTGATCAGCTGCCCCTGCAGGGAGAGCTGATAGCAGCTCTATCATTGGTGGCTAATGATAACTTGTGGTTGATAACATCATATAGTCTGTAGTGCTCACAGCCCCAGACTGTCAAACCTGGGGACAGAGTGTGGTATGTGAGTCCTGGGTGGCTGTGAGGAGCTGCAGGCTTTGTGGCATGTAGGGGATGTTTTCTTAGACCTAATTTTTCAGAGCGGTTGCTTTTCTTTATTACTTTGCTTTTCTCTAATCATTTTAGGCAGTAGTTTGATGAATACCCTAATAATTCATCTTGAGTTACACGTAGCTGCTGACTATCAGCCGTAACAAGCTTGGCCTGTGCAGTTGGTGTAAGCAGTATTTACTACTGCATCCCTGGATTCTGTAAGACTCTGATTTAGTTATAGCAAGTCGGGGCCGTGTGTTAGAAGTTGGGTTTCTTTAGTTTGCAAAGGTCAGTGTTCTCTTTACAGGGGCAATTTTCACTTTGCTTTTATAAGTAATTTTTAGTCACGCTCCTTCCCGTTTTATGCATGCTTTACTTGCTTTTTAAGTCTGTGATGACGGGAGGCCTGCCCTTCCTTGGAAGGAGGGCTCCCCAGTGCACGGTACTGTATTAACACAACCTGTCTCCATAACTTGTTTTTGTAATGAAAAGCCACTGTACGCCCGTGTCTCACTGCCCTCCCCCACCCTCATGGCCCTCTTGGTTGTCTGTTAAGAGTTACTGCCTATAGTAGGTGCGGTAATGTAGGGTTCGCTCTTTGGGAATTTGGTTTATTTTACTCAGTATAATGTTTCTCCGACGGCAGGCTGAGTGACAGGTGTCAGTGAACATGTGTGCCGCATTGCCTGTATCCTCTCACCCGTGTGTGGATGTTGAGGTGGTCTCTCTGTCTTCGCCGTTGTATGTGGGGATGCTGCAGTGACTGTGGGCAGGATAAGCATCACTTTGAGAACTGATGTCTGCCCATTCGCACGGATACCCGGGAGGGAGTAGAATGACTAGCCACATGGCATGCACTCGTGAGAGCTTTCGCTGGCTTTCGTAGTAGCTGACGGATTCCCGCCAGCCGTGTACGCAGGGCCCGTTTCTCCACGTGCCACTCTTCATCATCTCATCGTCTTTCTCCCTGCAGTGATTAGAGGGTGTTAATGTGAAGAGACTGGATTTTCCTGGCCTTGGGAGGAGGTGGATTCAGTCATCGGAGCCACCAAAACACACAGAAGAGAAAGTAGTCTAGGGAAAGTACTCCTAATTTGTTTTAACAGTTCCTCCAGTGGCAAGTGAGATATATGTAGCTTTTTTAAACAAGTCATGTGAAGCCACATTTTTGACAGAAAAGATATTTTCTGAAGTGCTCTAGAAATGACCCGCATAATTATCCCAACACTGGGTGGTGTCACTGTAGTGTGGGAATATCCAAAGATATAGTGGATTATGTTTGGGGAAAAGGTGGGGCACATGTTAAAGAAGCTGTTAGTGGAATAGACGGTGAAGTGCACATTAACATGGGGTAGTAAGGTAAATTCTGGTTTGAATGCATTACTGTGTGATGGGTAAATCTGGATTGCTATAGCATTTGACTCCTGAACGCTCTCCCAGGCCAGGACTTGTCAGTTAACTGTTAGTTCTTACTGGGGTGGATTATGTAGAATCTGGATTTATTTAAGTTAGGCGCATACGTGTGTAGCTGTGCAGGAATGTGCACATGCATGCTGGTGCCCACAGAGAGCAGACGGTGGGAGCTGGGGTCAGAGGCATCAGTGGGGGCTGGGCAGAAAACTCAGCATCTCTGCAGGGGCAGCAAGCACTCTGAACTCTGCATCCCTCCAGCCCCAAGGTCTGTGGTTCTTAGTAACACGTTAAACTCTGAAAAATGGGATGCGTGTGTCTTCTTCTGTAACTAGCGTGTACCGAATGTCTCCATTGCAGTGGTAGTGGTCGCTCCTAACGTTTATTTCACATCCTAGGTAAAACTGCCATTTAACGCTCAACGAATAATCTCGCTCTCAAGGAATGATTTCCAGTCCTTGCTGAAGATGCACAAACTGACCCCAGAGCAGCTGGACTGTATCCACGACATCCGCAGGAGGAGTAAGAACAGGATTGCTGCGCAGCGCTGTCGCAAGAGGAAACTTGACTGCATTCAGAACCTTGAGTCAGAAATCGAGAAGCTGGTGAGTGTGTGGATGGTCCCGATGTCATTAAATCCCAGCTCCCTCACTGTATAGAGTAAATAGCTACTTAAATTCTAAGGAAGTTCAGTGTCCCAAGTACCATTTTTAAGAGAAATTAAGGCATGGGCAGAAAGATTAGAAGATAAAAAACAGAGTTTTCATTGGCTATTTTGATTGTGTGTGCAGTCTACATTTTTTAGCACGGTATACTAAAATGAGTAGGTGGGGAACCATTTCTGGGTATGTTTTTTTTTTAATGATTTTTTTTAGATTTAATGACTCTTCTATCTAATCCTTAGTTGTTGAATAAAGATTAAAGTAATTATACAGTACTTTATGATGTTTGATGTCTATAAAAGCTTGTTTTCCAGTTGGGTAGAACTGTGGACCTGAATTACCTGTTTGGGTTGATACCAAAACCAAGCAGATGAACAGCGTGTCTCTGCCGAGGGAAAAACCCTGATGTGCGAAGTTGTGGCTCGAATAGAAACTTCTGAGATGTAGCAAGACCCTCAGTGTGAGGGTTGCTTGCTTATCGGACCTGTCTCTTCCGGCATCAAACCACATTAATTGGAAGAGAGATTAGTTTCTCCCATTTCTTTTGGCCTCTTGTGGTTGGTGGAAGGAAGTGCTGCGTGAGAGGAAGCTCAGGTGCCAGGCAAACCGAGGGCTACATATGGGCCAGGCACCAGGCAGGAAGAAGCCTTCACATACTCAGTTTTGTGTCTTTACTAACCATGGACGAAAGTTTAAAGTTGTGTCCGTAACTGGTCTCCAAGCGGGAACATTGTGGCTCTGGGTGAGACTAGAAACAGTATAAAGGAAAAAGATGTCTTTACGGTTTTAAGAGTAGTCGAAACGTGACATTTTCTTATGTATATTCTGTGCACGTACTTTAGGGGACGTAACGAAAAAGACGAAGGGGAAATCTGGTGGGGATGCAGGGTAACCAGAGTTCTAGGATCACAGAACAGGTCCACACAGCCAGCTGGCTCTACGCACCTGTAATCTTTCATGCTATACCACGTTAGTGCTCAGCTGCCTTTGGGTGGGTGAGTTTACAGAGTTGTTAGTTACTGTAGTAGATGCTTTCCACACTGTTGGGCTACATGGAACTGTTTGAAGCTGGTGTGGGATTGTACTACAGTGCTTAATTCTGCTTCTACGTACTCTGCCTCCCTCCTCATCTGGTCATGATTTTAGTCATCTGTAGCCTTTACCCAGTCCTCCCACTCCTCCAAAAATAAACAAGGACGAAGAAGAAGATTTCCTTTATTTACTGCACAGGGCATGTGCTGATTGAGAGCAGCGTGCCAGTGCTCCGTCGTCTGGGCCCGAAGCTATCATATTTGGGGACTGGGGCAGAAACTGGGTTGCTGGATCATATATCTAGGGTGATGAGGATGGGAGATGCAGTCTAAAGTGTGGGTGTGAATAGGATAATGTTTACTTACCGCTTTATAGTTAAGATACTCATTTATCAAGAGCAAATGGATTAATGTGTCAGAAGAACACCCAGCAAGTACCTACTGCAGAGCTAGCACTCAATAAATGCTAGTGTTTCTTGTACTAATGTTCAGTTTTCTCAGCCTCTGTTGGCTTCCTTTCTGGTGTGCTCTCCTAACTATCACCTTAGCTCACTTTCCATTGCTATGATAAACACGACACCCACAGCAGCTCGGGGAGGAAAGGCTTATTTGGTTTATGCTTCCCCACATAGTCTGTCGTCAGGAGAAGTCAGGGCAGGGACTCAGGGTGGGAGCCTGGAATCAGGGACCGAAGCAGAGGAGGTCATACCGGAGTGTGGCTTATTGACTTGCTCAGCTGCTCGTCCAGGGAGGCACTGCCCATAATGGGCGGGGTTCTCCCACATCAATCATTAGTCAAGGAAGTGCCTCCCAGGCTCACCTAGGAGCCAGTCTGTCACTAGTATTTTCTCAGTGGCAGACTCTTCATCTGGGATGACCAAGCAGCAAAGCTGTGGAGGCTGGGAGGCCCCTCCCCCAGTCCCTCCCTCTCAGCCTAGGGGCTCCTTTCATCTGCTCAACAGAAAGGTCCTTGCTTTCCAGTGTGAGGCTGGTAGGTCCTCAGGCCTTTTTGTGAACTCAGAAGCCAAAATGGCTAGTTTCCAATTTAACTGTTGTATTGATTTGGACTCTGGCTGCAAAAGCCAGGAGCCATCTGAAGAGTGGGTGCGTACAGGGTTCTGTGGTCGAGGCAAGAGAAAGGGGCTGGGAACCAGAAGCTGCAAGGCCCCCAGGCACCCTGAGCTCCTAAGCGATTATTCATGAGGACAAGGAAAATTTATAGTCAGCTCTAAGTGCCCCAGGAGGAGCAAGGACTGGCCTCATGAGACTTAATGTCCTTGTGTATGACTGGGGAGCAGACACCTGGCCTTTGGTAGCTGATGGGGCCCGCAGCGCCCACAGCTCAGGTCTGTCACCGGCCGCTTTCCATAGCCGTACCTGGAGAGTCGAGTTGGCTTGTGTGTGGTGGTGCTGGGTTATGGGTGTCCGTTCCCAAACCCCACCCAGTCCTTACCATAACTCTCATTCCAGTGATTTGCACAGACCCCGGTTGCAGAGGCAAGGGGCACACTACAGATGTCTGTCCTGCCTCAGATGCCCCTCTGAGACAAAACATGGGCAGAAAGCATGCTTATTAGCAAGTAAGAATCAGGAAACTGTCAGAAGGGGCAGAAAGTGTGAAGCTTAAGCACAGATGCGTGGTATAAGGTCACATCGTGTTAGTGCTCCAAGGACCCTGACCCTACACAGTGGAGAGCTGCTGGATTGCTGTCACCTTTCAGGAGATGATGTGGGGGACAGGAGCTGCAGGAAAAAGGATGGGGGTTCAGTGGCAGCTTCTGTAGACCACAGCAAGCCCCTTCCCCCGTCTGACTCCCAGGCTGGCAGGCTGCCTCAGTGAAGAAAAGGCTTGATGCCGAGCCCGACAGCTTGAGTTTAATCCATGGGACCCACGTGGTGGGTCAGGAGAATTCTCACAAACTGCTCTCAAACCACCACAAGTAAATAAATGTAATAATAAAAGTGTCCCCCCACCCTGGAAGGCCTCCCCAAAAGATGAATGTTCTTCATCCGCTCCTCTAGAGACGATGCACCTATTTCTGCAAGGCGAGCCTTCACAGCGGAGCCTCAGGCAGGGCCTCAGGAGGGAGCTGCCACCGAAGGGGACAGGCCCGTGTGTGTCGCACCCCTGAAGACCCTCCAGAGCGTCTAAGTGTGGAGGTGTCATTAGGGACACTGACCTTGTCGATTTATGCAGTTTGGGCCAGCGCATGTGTCTTAGTTTTTAATGGAACCCTTTAAAAAGTAAAGGAAGAAAAAAAAAAAATAAAGGCTAAGGACATAAAGTATAGCTGCACAGTATTTGTACTCATTTTAGGTGCAAGCTTGGAACTCTCTGCCATCACCATTTAATTTTATTTTTCTGTGTTGTAAGCTAAGTGTTATTTCAAAAGAGTCAAAAGTTTAAAAGAAACTTAGAGGGCAAAGTAAAGAATTCATAATAAGCCGAAGAAAAATCCCACCGTGTCGGAGCATTTAGTGCAGCCTGCATTGGTAGCTGCGAGGGCCCCGGAGTGCACAGTGCTCCCCCAGGCCGTCAGTTGCTCATCCTCCCACCCAGAGCAGCCAGCGAGCGTCCAGGCTGGGAAGCCCCACCGTCCAGGTGCCTGTGCAGGTGTCCATTCTTAATCCTCAGGACCATATCTCCACTGTGCCCTTCTCCTGTTTAGACAGGGGCAGATACGCAGACACTTGGGAGTATGTGTCGCTGCTTGCAGCTTCAGTGAGGAACACGCTGTTCAGGTTTGTAGCCCAGGAGCTAACAGGCCGTATCTCAGCCCAAGTGTGTTTCAGGTGGCACCATTTAGATGTTTGTACGGTGGCCCAGTTGCCCCATAAGACATGTCATAGAGCATGTTCCTTGTCAAGGACCGCACATGACCATAATCGAAGGAGCTGGCTTGCATTTGAGGTTGAGGCTCTGAGACATCATCTCCCATTCCCCAGTATTAAACTCGGGCCTCAAGCCTGTTAGGTTAAGCATTGAACCCCCCCCCCCCTTTATTGAAAAAGCATGGCGCTCATTCTCACTTAAGTTGCCTGGGTTGGCTTTGAACTCCTGATCCTCCTCTGTTTGGGAGGCGCTGATAATGAATGTTATAAAGTGATTGCGTTGGATTCCTTTAATTTGCTGCTTACCAACTATTCTGACTTGCCGGGGTGGTAAATTTACATTTTAAAACTAGAAGGAAATGGGAAGGCCAGTTAACTGCTGCGGATGTGGCTGTGTAGGAGTGGCTTTGGGATCCCAGCAACAGATGTAAGATTCTGGAGTGCTGGGTGGGGCTGGGCACAGGCCAACTTCTGCAGGACATTGTTGTTTTTTTAAAATTGTGTGTCTGGTGTGTGTGTGTGTGCACTCGAATGCACGCATGTGTGTTCCGTGTGTGTGTGTGTGTGTGTGTGTGTGTGTGTGTGTGTGTGTGTGTACACATGTTTTCATGAGAGGCCCAAGTGCCCTTCTCCATGGCCCTCTCTCTGCCTTTGCCCCTTGAGGAAGGGTCTTTAACAAGAGCTGCAGCTTGCCCCCTGCTTCCCCCCTCCTTTTTTTTTTTTTTTTTTTTTTTTTTTTTTTTGCTAGACTGACCAGCAAGCCTCAGCAATCCCCCTACCTCCCCCTACCTCCTTCCTCCAGCCCTAGCACTGGGGCCACAGCAGTGTGTGGACACACTTAGCTTTATTCGAGGTTTCTGGGGGTTTGAACTCATGCCCTTGTACTTGTGAACTGAGTCATCTCCCCACACTCTTCTCGGATATTCTTAATGAATGGAGCCGTCTCTTACTCAGTGGGGTAGGAGTGTGAATGTGGAGGGATCATATAGATAGATGTTTACATGAAGGTGCAGACATTACATAGTATTTCTGATGTCCCTACCATCACTAAGCCCAAATGGTCATTGTTAACGTTAACCTTTCCTAATGTGAAAGGGCAGCATGACCTTGCACTTCCTCTGTTGCTGTTGAGTGACCTCAGTAGAAGAACCAGGAACCAGGTAAAGAGGGTTCTCATCCTCTTCTGGGGCCTTTGCTTTTATTTCCATTAGGATGAGCTTCTGACAGGTCCCAAGAAGGGAGGGCACAGGTGCTATTAAATGTGCTTTTTCTCCAGGGTGGAAGGCAGTGCTGGTCTTGTCCCCTCCGCACTGTAGGTGGGCTCTTCGAAGCCTTTAACTGGAAGATTCTGTGCAGAGGAAATGGCTGACTGAACCTAGCTCCCACACAAGCATGCATATGATCATTCTTGACCTGCTCGTCTTTTTATTCTGAGACAAACCTAGAAACCTGAACAAATTGGAGAATTACTTTGCAATATAAAAATTTATATCGTGTTTATAACAAAGGGATTCTTTTTTAAAGATTATATAATCTTAATTTTTTTTAAAAAAAAACACCACTAATTGAATTCTCACATAACTTTGTAGAAATACTTTTCTATAAAGCTGTAATAATCCATAGGCATTTAGTAAAGCCTAAACTGTCTGTGCCCGCCCGAAGGGACATCGACTATGACAGTTGAGGTGGCCCTCATCTCAGTGCTCTGAGGCATCCTTGGTCTTTCCAGAACCAGTCAGTGAGCAGGCAGGAGACAGGTGGCCCCTGGTTCCCTCAGACCCCAGTCATAGTTTTCACAGCTGGAACCTTTGGCCCTCTGCTAACTTTACAAGCGCCGGGTTATAAGTTGCCTGGCTCCTAATGGACGAGGAGTGAAATGGTGGTGTGTGAAAGAGGCGGGTGGGTGGAAAGGGGCTGTTTGCGCTGATACCTAACGTGGGAAGGAGGGACACAGCCAGGAACACTTGGGAAAGTTTTATGGTAGACTTTCCTGTAAGGATTTGAAAAATGTCACATTACTGGAAACAATAAACTCAGGCCAGCCCCTTCATTCCCAACCAATTTATCTCTGGATGTGCTACAGTCTTCTTCCCGTTCACTAAGCCAGTGTATGGATTATATAGCAGAGATTGCATTTTTAACAGCATTGGCCCTGGGGGGAGAGGGAGGGCTGGAGGGAGGGGTTGGTTTGTAAGATAAGATTGTTTACAAAAAAACCCCAAAACACCTTGGCCCTGATCTTGGGCTCATAGTCTGTTCTCAGGGAGGCAGGCATTAGCCGACTCATACAGTGGGGTTAGTCTTAGGGCTAAACTAGGAAGACCCTGTTGGTGTCTGCCCAGAGTCAAGCCCAGGCCTTCCACAGTTCAGATTCAAACTCTCAGAACGGTGATTTGTCTTAGAATCTTGGCTAGAACCCAGCCAAATTTGATAACCAGCTACAAGTAGTTTCTCCCTACTTCCCACCTTGTTGGATATTTCAGTGTTTTATTTAAAAGTATAAATATTTTTGATCTTGGGTGCTAACTCCACACACACTGGAGCAGTGTGTGCGCATCGATATTATCCTTCTGTAATGGGAAGAGTTCCGAATTCCACCATAGGTCCGTCTCTAGAAGTTTTGGATGAAGGATCATGAGGTTTTGGTATTCAACATGTGTGTGTTCAGTTTTGTGTAGTCCTGGTACACAGTACTACATACACCACATGACGCAAGGATGCTGTCATACAAGTGCCTATGACACATTGTGTACACTCCCTCACTCCCCTCTCTCGCCCAGTCTCTTAGTCTCCCCTGTTTCTCCAGACTTGTTTTGTTTCCACTTTCATCTCATGAGCGATTTTCATGTGCCTTATCGAAAAAGCCAGGACCTGCATACGACAGAGAGCATCTATGTTTCGAACACTGGCTTTTAATTCACTTCGGTTGCATCTGTTTTCCTGCCAATCACATAACTTCATTTTTCTCTGTCGGGGAGAAACTCCGTTGTGTGCTTACGCCACGTCGTCCCTTCCTCCGCGGTTGGATCCCTTGGTTGGTCCTGTGCCTTGGCTGTTGTGAACAGTGCTGTGGTACACGCTGATGTGCAGGTGTCTCTCGTGACTTGAGGCGGATGTGTGTTTGAGTTGACCGAAGGAGACGACATTGTAGACGCTGAATGTTGGTTGCCTTAGAGATGTCGGTGGACCCAATAAACACGAGCCCTTGTGTTCTCTCTCTCTCTCCCCCCCCCCACCCCTGCACAGCAAAGTGAAAAGGAGAACTTGCTGAAGGAGCGAGATCACATTTTGTCCACGCTGGGTGAAACGAAGCAGAACCTCACGGGGCTTTGCCAGCAAGTGTGCAAGGAAGCCGCCCTGAGTCAGGAGCAGATTCAGATCCTCGCCAAGTACTCGGCCTCAGACTGCCCGCTTTCTTTCTTGGTTTCTGAGAAAGGAAAAAGTATTCCTGATGGTGAACTTGCTTTTCCTTCAGTCTTCAGTGTGTCCGATGTGCCTCCGGCTGTGCCAGCCCCCTGTGGGCCCGGGAGCAGCAAGGCAGGCCAGAAACCAGTTCAAGTGTCCCAGACAGCCTCACCAACCACCACAGCTGCCCTGGAGCAGGCCACGCTCTTGGAACCCTGTCGGCAGAGTGGCGGGATCTCAGACTTCTGTCAGCAGATGACAGACAAGTGCACTACTGATGAGTAAACCGCACGAGCCCCCTTCAGCCCGTGGATTTCCTCCTGAAGTTTTGGCATTGTCCCGAGAGCCGCATGTGGCCGTGTCTACTCGTTTAGTAGCCCCTTCTTCCCCCGGTAGCTTTCTATTGAGGGGATTTCTCTTTTAGGAACCCCGAGTTCTTGATTTTCACAGGAGACATGACATGATTTACCTCTTGGATGCTGAAAAATCACATGTGAAAATACAGAGTAATAATCTCCCAGTATTCAAAATAACTCTGGCAGTGGAAACTGCAGTATCCGTTTCAACAGCTCGAAGCGTCTGCCCTCGGCCCTCCGGGCCTGTGGAAGCTCGATAATCTACCTTTTGGCAGTATACTGATTAAAGAGAAAAATTCTACCCAAGCAGTGTGGTGGTGATCTACCCAGAAGGGGGCTATCAGCACTGAGAGTTTGTGTAGGGCTGTTACACGTGGAAAAGAAATCATCTTTGAACTCTAACACTCCACTGCAGCTCCTACCGAAGTCCAGTGTGGGCTGGACCCAGTGACCCCGAGGCTGCCCTGGCAGGGTGTAGTGAAGGGCCACGTCTGGCCAGAGCTAAGAGGCCTCCTCTCCTCAGTCTTGACGAGAATGCCATTTTTCCTGCTCTCTCCTTTGTTCCCCTCTGCAGCCTCTGCCATGTCTAGGCCAGTTAGGAACTTTCTGTCCCCTTCTTGCTCTTGGAGGTAGCAATGGGAGGTAGGTTGAATGGCCCGAGTGTGCACACGCTGGCCGGAACTGCAGTTGTCACAGATCTGGAGAGCTTCACCCCTGTGAGAGGCTGTCGATTGTCTAGCTGCAGGTCACCGATGCCCAAGAGGGCAGTGGGGTCAGGTGAGGGGAATGTCCACATTGACCAGAAGGGCAGCTCACTGGCGTCCTAATGAAGAGTGTGCTCCGTAGCCTGCCTGTTGTAGCAAACGTGGCTCCCCAGCTCTGCTGGGATTTGAAACCATAAAATGGCAGTCTCTCCCCCTTTGGTATGGTGTGAAGGCACACGCATCACTTTGACTTGGACATTGAGAAGTCAGCCTTGTGCTTATTAATGTTGGTAGAAAATGAATTCTTAATAATCTGAGCATCTACCCCATGACATTTTTTTCAGTGATTCTTAACCATTCTGGAATCTCACAATGCAGACCTCTGCAGTGGAGAGAAAGCCCTGTATTCAAGGAATGTGAACACACTGCCAGAGAGTTGGCAACACGCTGAGGACAGCTGACACCAGATGTGGGTTATCCCAGTCCTGATCTCCTGAGGCAGGGCCACCATCAAAACAGGGTCGTCAACATCTTCTGAGAGCTTTAAGCTGTGTGTCAGGTACATAGGAACTTCACTAAGACTGGGGCAGGGTCTGAGGGCGCCTTCGTCAAGCTATCGAAGCAGTCTGTAGACTGTTTGACAGTGGGAAAACTGGGGTGGGAGGCACCTCTGGTCTCACACACCCCCGATAAGGGAGCCCCTCAGTGCTCGCAGAAGCATCGGCAGAGGCATGGGCAGAGCCCTGTGTAAAGGAATGAAGAACAGTCCATGGGGCGTCGTCTCTCCAAGTCAGATATCCGAAAGAGACACTCATCTCCACTGCATGGAGATCCTAGAGAGAGAGGGTGGGGCAGGAGGAGGGAGAGAGAGAGAGAGAGGGAGAGCGTGCCAGAGAGCCACCCTGAGTGTGGTATCGAGTCAGTAGCAAGCTGATGTTTGCTATGAGAAGAAATGGGGACCAGAATCAATATTTCACAATAGTAGGTTGTCAGATGATGCCCCTTTTCCCCCCGGGGTGCAGGGAGGGAGGGAGGATAGTGTGTTTTTAGTCTTTGGAAGACAAAATTAAATTGTAATTATTTTCGAGAAACTTGGAAGAGTCCACTCAGTTCATCTGGGAGAGAATGCCCACTGTGACCTTGCACCCCATGTTACGAAAGAGCTGTGTATATATATGTATATGTCCCCACGCAGCTATCTGATACTTGTAATTTCAGATTTCAACTTAACATAAAATAATATGAAAACGTCTCTGGTTTACAAAGTGTGAAATCTTTAACAAGCCAATGGAACCCTCGATCTCCTACCTCACTGTACACTCAGCTGTCAGTCATCAGTTTTTGTGTGTACATATGTCAGATTTTTTTTTTTTTTTTTTTTTTTTTTGCTTTAAATGTAACTGTAAATATTTGCTTTTGGAAAGCTACTTACCATTTTATGATAAAATGCAGTTCTCTCCTCAATGTAAAGATTTTTTTTTTTTTTTTTTTTTAAAGACACTTGGTTTAGTCTCCCTACCTGTGAACAGTTTAGCATTAAGGGTTAATTTTCATGGTGTTTGGTAATTGGCCAAGTGTAATGTTCCTTAAAATTTAGCATTACTTTTAACAGCCAGCATATAATACAAGTAACTACACTACCTCATAACTATGTGATTTTCAAGTTGTAGTAGATGGACAGGAAAGATTTTACCTTTTGTCTTTTGGCCATAAGATGGGTAAGTTTTCTGTATATTGCATAGCATTACACATTTATGCCTATTTTAACAAGACATTTTAAAGACTTTTTTTTTTTTCTAAGAAAATTTGTTGCAAGACAATATTTCTTTTGGGGGGGTGCCGAAGACAAGTGATAGGATCATGTGTGTACATCGTATGCCTTTTCCTTCATGCAGAGTTTTGTCAATGCTTTTAGTTTGTGTTTCGCATATTCACGAGATCATTACTCCTTGTTGTATGATCTGACCTTCTCAATGCCTGGTGATTTTTTTTTTTTTTAAGTTGTCATATCTGACTCAATACAATTATGTCATCTTAAATATTTGCCCCTTGTTTTGAATGCTGTAGCTACAAATACTTTGTTGAATTGTTATATTCAGAATAAATATGGATATAGCATTGGTTGTCTCCCTGCAAGCTCTGTATCGATTTACTGTAGCTTCATGCGTGGCCAGTTTTAAGTTAGGAATGTAATATATATGATGCAGGGGATAGTGGGAACGGCATGAGGGCACTCAGCCACATTAACAGCTTGGAAAAAAAAGAAGCGAATGGCGATGTGACAGTGAATTCTCAGGTGAACCTTTCAGTTATGAAAACATCTATTTTGAATTTGTAAGTATTTTAACTGTTTTATTAAGGCATGTACTAAACTATTCTTTGCCACCTGTTGGGTAGATTGAAAATTTAAAGCCATAATGGTAAAAGATGGCATACTGATTGTAAAATAAGCAAATAATAATATTGATGTTTTGTATCTTTCATAATATAATTTTTCTAACTGCAATAAAACCACCGAACTTATATATTCATGTCCTATTAAGCCCATGTTTCATTAGACGTACACTTTATAATATTTAATTTACGTTTCCTTCCTAATATGCTTGTCTAAAGGTGCCGAAATATAAGTATTAGCTGGTAGACTGACAGTTAAATAAAGTTCCTAACCCTGCTTTTACTGGACTAGAGTTGTGCATTCCCTGTCTCACTACCCGTGTGCACATACTAATATCAACCGTTTGATTAGTTACTAGAAGTCAGGTTATGTGTTGGGAGGGGAGGGTTGGGTTATCTTATGCCTGAAAAGACTCCAGTGCTCGGTAATAGAAGACACACATATCTTAGTCTTGCATTTCACTTACTTAATTTCAGTCTGTGAAACGGGCATGTGAAGGGTCTGAGGAGATTGGCTTGTTGGTAAAATGCTTGCCATAGACCTGAGTTCAGTTCCCAGAACCCATATAAAAAAATGCCAAGTTGTGGCCACAGGGGCTTGAACCATGGATGCCCAATGATTGCAGTATCAAGAAGCAGAGTTTAGCACATCCCTAGGGCCCTCTGACCTGCCATCCTGGCCTACTTGGTGAGTCCCAGGCCAGTGAGAGACACTGGTTACCTATGAAACACACACAAATACACACACACACACACACACACACACACACACACACACACACACACACTCTCGGATTATTTCTTAAATCTGTTGCTCCAACAAGGCCTTGAAAGCCGAGCTTTGAGCAGCTGCCAGACTTTGAGGCAATCCAAGAGACTAAAGTTAGTCTGAGATAGGTAATTAGTGTTCCAGCTTCTAGTCAGCCAGTTTGCAGATGCAGACACAGCTGCTTTCTGGGAGTTCTCATGGACACCCTGGAGGAGGAAGCCACTTGCCATATCTGGTTCCAGCTTCAGGCTGCAGTGTTCTGGGCTGTTGGTAGACAATTGGTCCCTCAGGAGGCCCTGACGTGGATTCAACAGCACACTAAGTAAATCCAGAAGTTCCCTGTGTATTCCGAACCGCCAAAATCCCAGCTCCCCCGCCACAACCCCTTCCCTTCCTCTCTGTTTGTCCCTTGTCTTAGTAGCAGATCAGAGATTGTGCACTGGGAGCGGTGAATGCTGACACATGAAGATGCCCAATGGCGGGATGCTCCGGAAGAGGTACTGTGGCTCTACTTTGCAGACGGACAAAGACCCTATCCCTTGGGAGGTTCAAATCCAGAGCTTAAAAAGCAAAATAATCTGCCCACCTGAGTTCAGAGTTCAAAAACTTTTAAGAACCCCAAACTACTCTGCCAGATTTTCATTCACTCATAGCAGGACGCTTTGTGCCTAGGATGGGGAAGAGGTTCCCATGGAAACGTTAGCTTTGCTGCCCTGTGAGAGCTCCTGCAGGAACCTGGGAGGGTTAAGGCTGGGTGTCTGGTGTAATCCCTGTTTAGCCGCCCAACGGCAACGGTTCTCAGCTCATGTTGTGGTGACCTCCAATCATAAGATTATTTTGTTTCTACTTCATGAGTGTAATTTTGCTACTGTTATGAAGTGTAAATATCTGTGTTTTCCAGTGGTTTTAGGTGACTTCTACTAAAGGTCTGTTTGACCCCCAAAAGGGTTATGACCCACAGGTTGAGAACCACTGGTTTAGAGTATGAGGGGTTATAGCATTATCAGAGCCATATTTATTTGGAGTAAGCAAATTTTCAAGCTGTAAATCACTTGTCCCAGACAGAGCTTTAGTCCCTGAACTTGGTACCTAGTACTGCCCAATATAATAAGAGGATTCGATGATATATTAAAAACAAGCAAACAAACAAAACCCAAGTTCTGTTTCCTACTTCTGAGAGATGTGCTTGTCCTGGAATTCACAACCTGAATCTGTGTTGGGACTACTTAGATATAGTTAGGTTTTGACTCACAGCATGCTGGGAGACAGACCCACGGCTGTATGAAGCCTTGATTTACACTTTCTGTTCCAACAGGACAGTTCTGAGGGCTAACGGGCCCTGAGCAAGCTCTCTCAGGGCATAGATGTGATCCAGCCAGGGCCACTGGGGTGTGTCCTAAGATAGTGGCTGCCTGGGGATTGGCTAGTTTATTAAGTAGGTTTAAACAACACAAAATCTACTTAAGAAAAGCCGCTTGTATTCAAGGCTGGAATCTTTGCTGTTCACTCCTTGATTAACTGAAATTTGGTACACCCCACTGGTCTGCAGCTCTCTCTCAAAAGCTAGAACCTTAAGAGGACTCTTCATTGGAACCCAGTCGCCTTGGAAACTGAATAATCAGTACATATTCTTCCCATTCACACTTAAATGTCTTAGGAGATGTCTGTTTCACTGAAGACTGCAGCGGAGGCATCTAAACTCCTTACCCCCACACAAAGCTTGCTCCTGGGGTGTTGCTGTGCCTCGCACAGCTGCTGGAGCTGGAGAGGACCCCCACAAGCCCGCCACTGCTCACATCTTAACTCCAGGCACATTGCACACTCTTCAAAGGCCTCCTGCGTCCATGGGGTTGGAGATGGAGGAGGGTTTCTGCTAACTGTTTAATGACCATAGGGAATTGATTCCCCAAAGAAGGAAACGGCTGGTAGCAGTCAAGGCAAGGCTGAAAAGATGGCATTCCCTGTTGACTTTGCCCCCTGCAGGCACACGGAGTGTCTTCTGCAGACAGAGTAGGGGTATGCCTGGTGCTACATTCTCGTAATACCACTTACCCTGGCAGAGCTGCTGTTAGCACCTGCACGTTTGTGTGTTTTCAACATAGGTGGCACAGCGCTATGATCAGTGTGTGTGTGTGTGTGTGTGAGGCTCAGCACTGGGCCATATGATGGGATCCCTGCAGGATTCTCCTGTGGGCGATGATCACATTTCTGCCTAGATTCCAGTGGCTGGCTCTGGCATGAAAATCTCTAAATGGCCCCTTCTAAGGCCCAAGGAAGGCAGGAAGCGATTCCCGCAGGAAATCACATTTGCTGGCTAGAACACAATACTCTGGCAACCTTCCAGGCTGAAAACGCTCACCTCGACCAACTTCATTACCAAAGCAACTCATCATGCCTTGTCTGAGCTTGGACATCACACACTGGTTCACAGATCAGATCATGAACACACAGGTGTTTCCCTTTTCAAATTCTGTGCCTCACACCTCACACCTTTCTACAGGTCTTTCATATTCCTGCCCTGGGGTTAAAATTAGAGAAAGACAATGACATTAGAAGGAAGACCAAATTAAACCCGGTTGCTGATGGGGAGCTGCTGAGTGGCGGATTACAGAACTAGGCAAATAGACATTCAGTAGCAGGTTTCCTGTTTGCTTTTAAGGAAATAATTTCCCCATTCATTTTCATGGAGAGAGGTTTTCCTCTCATCAGCTCAGCATGGCCTTTACTCCTACCGGTGGAGGAACAATGCTCCAAGGAGAAGAGTGACTGAGAAGGAGTGAGAGCCACCAGATTTCTTCCCTGCCGTCTCCGTTATCCAAGGCGCTCCACCTTTCCAGGGCTGGCGTGAGGAGACTTATCAGAAGACTGGGAACTGGGGGAGAAAATTACATGGAGTCCACGAATCTGGAAGTTTGAGGGAAACAGCAGGGTACCCTCAGGAGGGATAGACCCCAATAAAAGCCCCGAACTTGCCTTCCCATCTTTACGGTACTTATGAAAGGGACATAGGTCCAGGTTTAAAATCAAAGTATTCGCTTCCGAGAGGTTTCCCCATCTCTCTCATCTCTGTTTGGTATGTTGCTCTTCTTTGGGTCTAAATGAAAAGATCAGGGAGGGTTTCGGAGCCGAGCAGGGCGCGTTCCTTCATCACTCAATCATAGCCATCTTTTCTGTGCTCACTGCTTCCAGCTTTAAGTTTACTTTTAACTGTTCTTAGAAAGTCAGCACTTTCCCGAATAGTTAATTTCCTTTCTGAACACTGGGACCCAAACAATTTTCTAGTTGCTGTCTCAATATCGGGTTTTAGATATGACAGTCACCATGTGAGAGGAAATGCTGCTGGAATCTTGCTTTGTGGTGTAAGCATGCGGAAGGTTTCATTTGCCTCGATTTAAATGGTAGCTTTATGTATTGGACACAGGGTTGCCCATCAGTGCCTTTAGCGGAAAGTTTTCTGTGGAAGGTCCCTTTTGTAAAACATGCTTTGGCCTCGTTTGAGCCTTTTGTCTGGTGTTTAGGAGCTCTTGGTACTTGAGGGGTGTCTTTCGGGGAGCGGCGGTGGAAAGTTAACTCTGCCAAGGCGTCTTCCACAGCTTTCCTCGAGTGCAGGAAGTCTGCTCAGGCTGCTGTTTCAGCTACAACGGAGCCTGTGGGAGTGGAGTTGACAGTTTTACAGGAACAAGGTGTGGAGCACGTAGCTGCTCTGATAAGGTGGGAGAAGTTGGCCCGCCGAAGTACTTAGTAGATTGTGTTCCTCGGGGTCTGGGAGGGCAGACAGCTGTTGCACGCTGCTGGAAATAGTCGCTATGGAGTACGTGCTCAAGAAGTAAAGGAATGACACTGGTTTAGGCAACGACTCGGGCATACATCCAAACCCCCATTAATAAAGGGACTGAGAGGAATAAAGGCGCGTGGTTCTGGAGCCTGGATTTGATGCTTGACAGCTGTACCGATAAGAGAAAATGAATTTATCTTGGTCATGGTTCCCTTACATGTTCTTTGTCTGTGTTGGTGGCAGGGCAGATGATCTGTCTGTGGCGTGTGTGTGTGTGTGTGTGTGTGTGTGTGTGTGTGTGTTATTACTATGACTTTACGTCTGGGTACCTGCATCCATCCAACCCATGAGCCTCTCAGTTGTCTTATTCTGTGGTTAACATGGGTGGGGGGCATGACTCTCCAACGCTGGCTTGAGTGTCGTCCGATTAGGGAAGTAAATAAGTTCTGTGGTTTGATTAGATTTGACTGAAAATGTGACTGATAATTTCCATCTCAGCGACACAGGTAGCTCTTCAAGCTGAATGCTGCATGGGAGATTTTGCAGTCTGCCCACCGCAGGCTGTGTCAAGGCTGTGTCATCTGTGT